TATTTCTTAGCCAGCATGATGCTGACACCCTCACAGATTTTGTAAGAGATACAAGATCTCTCAGTCGCCGAAATTCAGCAGTTGAAAACTCTCGTACTGATGATGGCAGAATCCGGATCACAGTAAGCCCAACACGAAATCCCGAAGATGAAAGTAGTACAAGGAGATCTTCACACAGAAGGAACATTCAGTTATGGGCCTACTCTTAAGGAATTTTGTTATCTATTGTATAAGACATTTTAGAACATTACATTTGGAATTAATGATGCGAAAATGTCTTCACAAATACAAGCACCAATGTTGATATTGTGTTGAATGATGTCATCATGAACATGAATCTTGTTTGCGAGGACACTGAGGATGGGTCAGAGGAGGACGCAAGTGAGCGTCAATTTGTTCTGAGCCAGCATTATGCTAATACGCTATTAAGAGATACAAGATCTCTCAGTCGCCGAAATTCAGCAGTTGCGAAAACTCTCGTACTGATGATGGCAGAATCCGGATCACAGTAAGCTCAACACGAAATCCCGAAGATGAAAGTAGTACAAGGAGATCTTCACGCAAAAGAAACATTCAGTTATGGGCCTACTCTTAAGGAATTGTGTTAACTATTGTATAAGACATTTTAGAACATTACATTTGGAATTAATGATGCGAAAACGTTTTCACAAATACAAGCACCAATGTTGATGTTTTGTTGAAAGATGTCATCATGAAAGTGAATCTTGTTTGCAAGGACGCTGAGGATAGGTCAGAGGAGGACACAAGTCAGCGTCAATTTGTTCTGAGCCAGGAAGATGGTAATACCCTTACAGATTTTGTAAGAAATACAAGATCTCTCAGTCGCCAAAATTCAGCAGTTGAAAACTCTTGTACTGATGATGGCAGAATCCGGATCACAGTAAGCTCAACATGAAATCCCGAAGATGAAAGTAGTACAAGGAGATCTTCACGCAGAAGAAACATTCAGTTATAGGCCTACTCTTAAGGAATTTTGTTAACTATTGTATAAGACATTTTAGAACATTACATTTGGAATTAATGATGCGAAAATATCTTCACAAATACAAGCACCAATGTTGATGTTGTGTTGAAAGACATCATCATGAAAGTGAATCTTGTTTGCGAGGACACTGAGGATGGATCAGAGGAGGACACAAGTGAGCGTCAATTTGTTCTGAGCCAGCATGATGCTAATACGCGAACAGATATTGTAAAGAATACAAGGTCAGTAATGGTGACCTAATTATTACTTGTGTTAGTATCCTACGGGATAGATGAGAGGATTGTTTGAGGCAACTGCTGATGAGATTTGTGAAGCCAGCAATCCTCATAAAGACAGCTTTACCGCACGAATGTGACTACAAGAACAAGGACAATCAGAGGACAGATGAAGATTTGATCATTGAGAGAATTAAAGTGAGGGACATTCTGTCCACAGGATAGATCACAGATGAGCAGAAGAGAGAATTCTTTTCTTCGGTTAGAAGCTATTTTGTTGCAGTTTCAAATTATTTTGTGTCCAAGTTCCCCCTTAAGGATAACTTATGCAGTTTTTGGTGCGTCTTCTCTACAGGAGTGTGCTTATAAGGACAAATCGAACCAGAAAGATGACGAGGACCTTGTGGTGCGACAGCATGTAAACTCAAAGTTCTCTAACAACTAAAGGAAGGAATTCTACGAATCAGTCAGAAAGTACTTTGTTGCTCTGTAACAGACTATGTGATTGCAAAATTCCCATTAGAGGATGAAGTGATTTGCCATGCACAAGTTACTATCCCAGGGAAAAGGTTAGATGTCTCATTCTCATCTCTATCTTTCTTCTGTCATAAATTTCACATGGAGGACAAACTAGACATTGTTGAACTGGAGTTCCTGCAGTATGAAGTTAATCCACTCTTGAATGTCTCCCTAGACAAGAGAGCAGATGAAGTGTGCATGGACAGAGATCAGAACCTTGAAAAACCATGTCACTGAGAAGTTGAAATATGACGACTTGGGAAAACTCATGCATGCATGCAATTCTAGCACTACCACACAGCAATGCTGATGGTGAGCGACTCTTGTAAGAAAGAATTCAACAGAGTTCAGGCCCAGTCTTAAGACATCAACATTGTCAGATATTCTGACAAAAAACCCCAAGAAATCAAGCAATGAAGGTCCCTTACTATGACATGAATTTTCCAGACAAACTATTTGAAAAGTGTAAAAAAAAAAAGCTGCCACCAGTTTTGTCTCTAGCTCTAATGCATGAACGAACGGATTTGATTTGGCTGTATATTGATATCATGGATTATATTGAAGGCTGAAAGGACCTTTTCTTTGCATAACACAAGAAACATTTAATTTATTCAGCTTCCTTCCACAAGACAGAAACTGGTAAGTTTTGATTTTCCATGTAATATTAAGATGAATGTGTCTCTGCACTACATGTTCATGTAATGAAGAATAAATTCATTCACACGAAACAACTTTCTGGCATTGAAAGCATTTTTTTATTCAAAGAAAAAAAGTTGCAATAACATCTTATACACCGATTCGGTTTGGGGGTTTTATGTACCTGCCCGCCGGTGGCGGCGCTATAACTGGGGGGCTTCTCCGATCCAGCTGACAGTACAGAGAGCTCGAGAGCGGTTACTAGCTAACGGAGCAGCGACCCTGGCCGGCCTGGGCGAGGTTCGGTATAGGTATAGCATACCCGTTGCAATGTAAGCTAGCTAGCTGCAGTCAGACGCCCCCCAGTTATGGCGTCACCTTATGAGGGCGCACTTCCACCAGAAGTCGCCCGAATCGGTGTATAGGGAAAATAACAAAAAAACATATAAAATAGGCAAAATATGTTTTTTCACCTGAAATATGTTTTTTCAAGCTGAATAATATGTTTTTTGAAAGTGACAGGTTGGCAGTTCTGTATTTTAGAGGAGAGAAGCAGGTAATGAAGCAGTCCCTCGGTATCCAAGAGTTAGAGAAAGCAGAGATGAAAATTCTGCAACATGAACAATAAAGATGCTTCCCTGCAGAGATAGAAGCACTGAGTGGCAAGGCTAAAAAGAGAAACACCCATAAGAAAGACAAGGGTGTAAGGGAAGACAGTCCTATCTACAAGTTCGATGGTAAACTGAAAGAAGAATTACTTTGAGTAGGTGGAAGAATTCACAGGGCTTTGCTGCCAGTGGAAGTGAAGCATCCCATCATCCTCCCCAAGGGTAGTCCTTTGTTGCTCCTCATCCATGAGATGACAGGACATAGTGGAAGAAACCATATGCTCACTCCTCCACCAGTACCGGCTGCACAGAAACGCTGTTAGTAGCATGTTTGTTAGCGCTAACAAGTCAGACAAGCACGCTGTTAGACAAGCACGCTGTTACAGCGCTGTTAGTGGATTTGAGCCATAGAGTTTTGAGCCTATGATTTGTACGTAGTAATCTATTTATAGATTGATGAATCTTGTTGATGCAGCACTACACAGTGCATCGTTGTCTTTGTGAGTGACGTGTATTCATATTTTAACACAGTTCGTTAATTTTCATCCGTTCATAATGGCGCAAAATAAACCGAAGAGAGTTCGAGCTCCAGACTACACTGACGAAGAAATAAATGTTGTAAGGAGTAGTTCTTAATTCTTAATTAGGTCTAACTCTAGGTCTATTTTGAAGTACTTGGTATAAAAAAGGGAGAAATTTATAGCGCACGCAAGAAATTATTCACTAACATTGTCACTATTGGTGCCCCTGGCACTGTTAGTGAGTTGTTAAAACATTGACACTACTGTTAGCTTCTGTGCGGCCTTGAAATGTTTGGCTAATAGCGCTGTTAGTGAATTCGACTAACATTATGCTTATATGCGGCCAAAACAGCGCTATCTGTACTGTTAGTGCGCTGTTTGTGTTAACAACGTTTCTGTGCAGCCGGTGCAGAAGTATTGGATGCTGGGTGCTGGCAATTTGCAGTAATGTTTTGATCGATCACTGAATTCAGCATATACCTGAATTGCTTTTGTTCTTTTTGTATATTTGCAGATCGAATCTTATTCAGATTAAAGGCGTTTTGTCTCGTAACAAGGCTAAAGTCTGTGGTTTTCTTTTCGACTCTTGGTTCACCCTCACAGTCATGAAGCCAAACCAAAGGACTAGTTATTATTAATTAAACAATAATGCTAAACACACCTCGGGAACAACCGAATTAGAAGACCTCACCTATGTTCAAAATTTTGTTGATGTAGGCTTACGAGTACTGACTTAATTGAATTCATTATCATGATCATGAGTGAAATGGCACTATAACTGTATCGCGATCTTAACTTCACTTTTTTTAAATAACAGAAAAAAAAGGAAACATGAATGGGTGCAACTACGTCAGTAGCAATGAAGGCGCCTTCGTAATTATTCAGATACTTTTTATAAAAATCTCCATAATACAAAAATTGCAAAATTTCTTAGAATAAAAGTCAAACTGTTAATGTTTAGGCCCTACACATAAATTGTTATACTTTCTTAATAGAAATAGGCAGATGCTGTACATGAAAAGAAAGAATTTGGTAGCATGTTAAAAATCGATAAACCATGACTAAACACTGATAAAAAAGACAACAAATGGACCGGTCACCAATGAAAGTAAAAAGCGTAAAACACCATAACTAGAGATAAAGAGTGCGTGTGTAGCAACATAACTTGGTATAACTTTGAAAGTAACTGTTAAGGGGACATGAGATTGTGTCCCTCCCCTTGCTCCAGTTCGGCTTTATGCCCATGGCCACAGTGAGCCATAAACCAATGGGTTATCCCTTAACCTGCCTTGGTCAACTAATGAAACAGACATTGGACTGCATCAGTTGACCTTTGTCACACAGACATTGTAGAAGTACCATATATTATAAATACATATAAGGCCTAAAAAGATGTTGTTTTGTACTTGTAATTTTTTTTTCTTCCCTCTTTGGCTGATATTTCTCAGTTTTGAATGCTTAAATATTTGTTTTCTCTAAAAAAAAGGTAACAAAGAGAAAACTTTATTTAAAAGCCGACCGTAGATTTCAAGATTTGTGGGTCGGTCCCAAAGGGCAATACAACATCTTTTTTGTTAAAGCTTAATGTGGAGGTCTGGGAATTTTGATCCATGGGCAGTAAAGTGTCGAGAACCGTCGCGATGGAGACTCACATTTTCAATCCAAAGTTGTGGCTTGACTGGCATCTTCAGCCTCTTGGCTTTCAAACTCTTTCCTTTCCTCTTCAGCGATGTGGTAAAGTTTTGCCCCAAGTTCCTCCAGTTGAGTCCTGTATTCAAGGTCCTGTAAGGTAGAGACAAAACAACAATACTTTCACATATTGGGAGGCTGGGGCAATTAAATCTTAAAGGGCAAGTACACTCCAAAAATAACTTACTTTCAATAGAAGCAGAAAATTCAGACAAATCAATCCAAAAAAAATTGAGCAAAATCGGATAACTAATAAGAAAGGTATGAATTTGTAATGACACAACATACCTTGACAAACTGATAACCAAATTGGCAATTTGTGTACCGGTAGTGACTTTTTAAGTCCCCTAATTTTTCATACTAAAAAAAAAAAATTTTTTACTAATTTTTGTTTGCACTGTTTCTCTTGTTTTTTCTGCCTCTATTAAAAGATACAGAGGGGGTGGAGGATGTAATCACTCAAAATGTTACATGGAAAGAAAAAAACACACAAAGGATTACATCACATCACTGCCCTACCTAAAGCTATGGTCACAACACCTAAAAGTAGCCTGCTCGGTGGCCGGGCGGCAAGTTCTGAGCCAATTTCAACCGGGCACCGAGCGGCGGCCGCTCAGGCATCGCTCAGTCGCAGCCGCTATGTCAAAGGCTGCCAAGCAGTCACCGCCCAGTCGCTGCCAGGAGATCAGTCGGTCACTGGGCGGCGAGTCAAAAATCGTTCAGCAGCCTTTGATTTTTGACCTAAATCGCTCGACAGAATGGAGCCAAATATTGATGAAAAAATACAAAATTTAGGTTTTCTGCATACAACAGAAAACCCGAATTATGCATTCTTTCATCAAAATCCGTCTTCAAACACATTTTGGGGGGAACCCTTAGCAGAAGTGTGTCATAAATGACATCCTCTTTCACATTATGATACAAATTTAGCCATCAAAATTTTGGCGAATTTGGGGCACCCAACACTTTAGAGGGGCTTTAAAGATGGCATTGACATCTATCTTTCCCATTGCTAAATATGGAAGTGAGACATGGGCCATGGCTAGAAGAGATGGAAAGAGAGTATATGCCTATGAAATGTATTGTATCGGCGAATATTGAGGGTTCCATGAACGGACAGAAACAAACTGATGGGTGCTGGACAAGCTGGATACAGAGATGTTGCTCCGAAAGTGTTTTGCCAGAAGGAAACTACTGTTTTTTGGCCATGTAGTATTAAAGAAGAGATGGTCTTGGAAAGTCCCTTATAACAGGAACAGTGGAAGCCAGGGGATAAAGAGGCAACGAGAGCAACAGCAGAAAAGGATGGCATAAACTTGTGATGGCCACAGCAGCGCAGCCAGCACCACCACCTGACTGAAAGAAGAAGATTGGTACACTTTCAGGAAACCTCACCCCAAAGAATATTATGATGTAATGCCTTTTAGGACGACATGGCATGGGCGCAGCCAAATTCTTGATAATATGATGTACCAGGCAAACCTGTACATGTATCATGCAAACAGCTCTAGTTGGAAAGAGTTAACGTCAGAAGAGCAACAACGTATTTCTGCAATTTGCCTTCTGACAGTAGTAGTACAAAATATCATTAGAGGTGAACAAAATGCCACAACACCGCGGCACACAATGGGAAGGAAGCATCCAAAAATTTGAATAATTTACTTGATAAACAACTTCGCATAATACGTCACATTATCACGAACTATGTATATTATGCTAATAATATCTTACTTTATAACTCTCTCTCATACACTTTGGTGTGGGGTCTTGTAGATTAATGGGCAAGAAATCAATCTGAGGGTGATCAAGGTTTCCTTTGACTTTTGACCTTTGGATGATCCATAGCATCCATTTTGGAGATCTTAGATCACCACACTGCTTTCGGTTTCAAAACCTCCTTAATGTATATGTCTCGTCCCTTTTGGTCTATAGATGGTTTGAAAATATGGATTTGTGATCAAACCTTGTAGTTGCATTTGGGCACCTGGTCCATGCCATAGAGGGCGCCCCACCAGCATCCTGCCATCACCCCAGTGGAGTCATTGTCACCCCCGTGGAGCATACCTGCTAGGCAAAGCTCCTCCCAACTATTCTTACAGCCGAGCAGGGCATCGTAGCTGTTAGAGAGAGCATAATAACAGAAATAACAACTACAATAATACTATTCTAGGTTTATATAGCGCTTAATACATCAACAATGTCTTTAAAGCATTTAGGGTCATCGGATTCAGGCCGTGTAAATCGAAAGCCCCTGAACACCAGCATTAAGAAGTTTAGCACTCACATATATTTATTGTAAATAAACTAACAAGAATCAAATTTCAATATTCTTCTATTGATTCCTTCAAGGATAAGGAATAAGTATGTGAATGATAAAAAGGAAGCCAATGTCATACATGTAATCCCTTCTCTAGAACCAAAGACCTCATAACTTAAAGGCAATCTACAACGCGATAGCTCAGTCGGTAGAGCAGTGGTCTCGTATTCCGGTGACCCGGGTTCGAAACCAATTTGATGTGCTAGTGCCCTTTGGTAAGGCATTAATCCTCATTACCAGGTCCCTCGAAGAGGACCTAAAGCCGTCGGCCATCTGGTCGCCTACTTACAAGCATTTATGCTTTCTTAGCAGTCATGTAAAATAACCACCACCATTCAATGTCATACATGTAATCCCTTCTCTAGAACCAAAGTCCTGATAACTTAAAGGCAATCTACAACTCTGGCAGAAGGATCATCCTGATACAAGTAATTCCTCACGTAATACTCACCCAATCATGGGCGCATCGTGGCCGCTGGATCCTCCCCATCCCCTAAAGCTGACACTCTTATAGAAGGCATCCCTCTCCACGACACCGTAGGTTGCTGGGAATCGTGCTTCCGTCGCATCTTCTCCATCGATCCCCCTCTCCTGCAAGTAGGCTGTCCACTTGTCCGTGAAGTACGGCCACTGCTCTTCGTTCTCCTTCACGTCGCGGCCAACGGATCGGACATAGTCCAGAACCTTGGGCAGTTCTGCAACAAGTCTGCAACCCCAGGAAACGACCGGGACACCTTGGATGGCGTAGGACGTGAAGAGGGCGGCGGCAAAGGATCCGAGGTAGCCGGTCGGACAGTTGTGTGTCATGCGCCCTGATTCCACGCTGACCGCGATGAGGTTTAGAAGCTGGTCCGGCCTGGGGTAACGCAGACCGATGCACATGGCCCTCATGGCTGCTCCACACCCTCCTCCTCTAGAGCAAGAGAAGATGGAACATGATCGTTAAGAATTTCAAGAATCAAATCAAGAAGGAACTCGAGTCAATTTAAATACCCTATAGCATCTATAGTATCTTCTTTGTCATTTAATTCTGATTCAATTTTTTTGTTTTCCTTTGGTATCTATCACTTTTCCTTCCTTATCCTTTCTTCTTTAGAAACATTAGTATCAAGCGCTTTATGAATACCGGTATAATGTATTACTGTTATCATTATTATAGTATTGCCGGTAGAAATCATGTGTGGACTATATGTGTCGCTTCCCTTGATCTTGAAAGTGTTCAATATATGTGTAACGTTCTTACAAACAACTGCAACTACATGTATGCACAAATTTAATTTGAAAGTACCGTCAGGAGTATAGGCAGAAATGATATAAATGTACTACATTGCAAATTCAAAGTTTAAAAGGGATACAGGTCTTTACAAAAAGTCACATCATCAATATTCACATGGCTGCAGCAGTCCCTTAGTCTATCCGTTTCTTAATATACAAAATAGTGACAATTGAATAAAGAGCCTTTATCCAAATTGCTTGATATCATATTAGACAGCAATGCTGTCATAAAAACAAAAATCAAAAACATTAAAGGTAATACAAAGTTTTGGGAAATTTTGAAAATTGGGTGGAAAGTGATTCTTTACAATATTGATATTTTTGCATGCCTCTGTAGATGTATTATAAGCACTAGAAAATTTAGCCACTAAAAGACTTCTGCTTTCGAGAAAAATTGAATATAAAAATTTACCGGTGCTCCCGGTAAATTTTGATAAATTTCAAATAGCGCCTACGGCCGTACAATGGTAGCTGCGACCATGCAAATCTCAGAATATGTAATTGTGATGTATAATTTCCAAACAGGAAAAGCTGATCGGTCGATTTTAGTCAAGAAACATTGTTTTATAGCTTTATTAATATCTTGACCTTGAGAGGGAGCTATACAACATAAAGAGTTTGTTATTTACAATTTCATAACTTTACACTCGATTTCAACCGCGACAACGATCATTGAATATTGTAGGACCGAATATGCTTCCAATGTGTTCATTTGAACTAAATTCATGACCCCTTACCAAAACTTACGTATTACCTTTAACTCTTGAAACATTTCAAATTAAACTAATGCAGCTACTATTTATCCAGAACTACACTATCTAGTTTTGGTATATGTTCTATTACATGCTGATGCATACGATTTATTTCCTAACACTAAGAATTTATGTGTATTGTACAACCTATGTTGAGTCTTTGTTTGTACAGCTAATTACTGTAGCACTTTCGAGTGACCTTTTTTGTCAGAAAGTGCGCTAAAAATCTATAATTATTACTTTTGTTATCACCAACACGTCTCACCTCTTGTTATATGGACTTAGGTAACCATCTGGCTTGGCTAAGTTGTGTCGACTGATAGAAAAGCTAGTTGTGTTACCTAAAAGAAATGTAGCAACATTAGAGAAAAGCAACAAATACAGACTGACAAAAGCTATTCATCTTGTGCTCATCAGAGTACATCACAAGAATGAACATTGGACAATATTAACGGAAGCTGAAGGAACGAAACATGCAAAAAAACATGTATGTAACTCACTGTCCTATGCTGACAGAAAGAGTTCATGAGGAGTCTCTCATGTTATTCTAGCTAGCATTGCTACTGCCGGTTGTCATGAAACATCTGGCATAACCCCACTTTTTACGGCAGCTAATCACAGCCATTTATTTTTAGCATGGTTTGTTCCTTTAGCTTCCGTCAATTGCAATTTTCTTTCAGAGACTCATTTATAGTTGAATGGCTAAGCTCACTCATGAATGAATAGCTCCTGTCATATCATCTTACAGAGAATTAATTTCTGGTTATTCTGATACATTAAAAATAATTCATGTCAAATATTTGTTTGAAAATCTGAGCTAAAACTAGTGCTACTTTCTTTTCTTTCCTTTTCTTTTTTTTTTCTTTTTTGCTGAGTGTATATGAATATGCAGTAATAAAGTCGGAGAGAAAAATGGTATTAACCTGGCGCTCTTCCTTTCATATCGAGAGCCCCTTTCCTGTACTCGGCTGCAAACTCAATGTACAGCTTGTCACCGATGGGCTTTCCACTAAGAAGAGCTGAAAAGAAATGAAGAAAGGGGAAAAAGAATAATACCGTAGTTTAAAGGTAAAGACCAGTATTGCAAATGCCACAATTCCAAAAAATGAAATTGAAGCTCTTATTACCAATCATGTGAAAGAATATGTTTTGACTAATACATGATAACAATTTTGCCAGGAAACCGCTTATTAATTGATATATTTGGTAAATTAGTTTATCTGTTGGTATGTGAGAGATAAACGCACGTGTCGCGCACGTGTGCGTAGTCCCATATACATCTTTCTGTGTACAGTGCTTGTAACTTTACAAAGACTTGGCCAAATTTCTTATCATTTTGATGATATTAGAACCTTGCAGTAATAATAATAATAATTAACAGCATTTGTATAGCGCTTATCACAAAATATGTCTCAGTACACACCAATGCTTATATATATGCTAGATGAACAACCTTTTCTGGTCAATTCCACAACGTTTCTTTCACAATGCAATCGCATGACCATAACTGGTCTTTATCTTTAACACCTTTCATCAGTAGTGAATAATATTTTTTTAATAAACATTTGATAGTACACTTGTAAGTACAGCCTAGACAAGACTATTACAGAATGATTTCCAATGAAGATTGAATAATGAATGATATGACTTCCATTTCTGTATATAATTACCTACTGGTAGCACATACATGTATATAGGTGCAGCCTTGACAGGACTATTACAGAATAATTTCAAGTCAAGATTGGAATAATTTGTGAACGTTACTTCGTTTAATTTCAATTTTCAGATTTAAAACAATAAACATATCTACTGTACAGTGAATCTAGGCAACTATGACACAATAAATTCATAACTAAGTTGAAAACCAGAAGTTTGTTTAAAAGCTGCTGGGGTTTGGTCAAGTAAGTCCTCTTTTAAAAAAAATAGTCTTGTAACTCGTTGACATATCAATGTATTTTAAGGCATATGAATACTGTCTGTCTTGTGCGGTGTATATTACATATTATTACAAGTCATTCATAGAAAATTCATATTTCTTATGCAGGGAATTTTTATATACATTCAATTCAATTCAATTCAAGGTATGTTATTCACTCATTGTAGCTAAAGGCTAAATTACAAATGAATTTACAGAATTCAAAACATTAAAAACTTCAAAGGTTTACTTTGACCATGTGGCATTATTTAATTATCAATCCTTGACAATACATTTCTATATTTGAGGATCAGACGTTTTCCATATTTTGTATGATAGATGAACCAAGAAAAAAACAATGCCCCTCCAACAATGTTTCAGGGATACCACAGGATCTTACCTCTTGCAGTAGCTAAATGTAACACTGTGTCATCACTTACAGGCCATCCAGGTACTGTGCAGGAACAAGAAAGAGATATAAAATAAAGCCTGAATCCGATGACCGGGGTAATAATATGTTCCGCGCCTAGAAACAAAGTATTAGGCGCATTATAAATGTGAGCTATTATTATTATTATTATTATTATATATTATGTTTGTTACAGTAGAGAACATACACAGTGCGTACCAGAAAAAAGGAAAACGAAAATTATCAATGTTTTATCATAACTTAATTTCAATTATAATTAATAAATGACACATATTTTTACAGCTTAGATCCTCCTCTTTCATTTGGTGCAACTTGTATGATGCATATTTCATGCATGAGTGACTAAAATAAATTTGAAGAAAGGGTACCAAAAAGTAATTTGGCTAACGGTATCTGAATTTCAAAGAAAACAAAAATAATATTTCCTTGGGGTTCATTTTCTGCCCTTTCATATGACACCTTAGTCAGGAGAAATGAGCCAGGAATAACAAAGTTCTGTTTGTTGTAAGTAATGCTTGCATTTCCATAATTGTATTGAACAAATTTGTTTTCACTGGCTGCCTGCCTAGCTTAACAACAAACAGAGTTGACAAAAGCCTTGATGCATGGCTGACTGTCAACAAAACGGAGTGGTGAGTAAAAATGATAAAAGCAAATTGCTAATGGCTAAAAATTAAAACAATGATAAACATTTTCGATGCCAGAGGGCGACGCCACCTGAACACCCAGCAGGGGCCCTGCTTCTGGACCTCACACAGAAGGGTTTATTTTTACGCCCTCATAGTTCTCTTTGCGCACATGCCGACTTTTCTCAGCCCCCATTATTTGGATTATTAATAATCTGCCTCTCCATCAGTGATTCAAACTGTGGCATCAATCAGTGATTCTATTCACAATTCATAATAATAAAAATATATCGAAATTTTTGGAGCGCTAAAAACAATAAGTACCATAGCACTTACAAATACAAATATATGAAAAGAGGACAAAAAATGTACATTCTCACATGAAGTAGATCACATAAATCACTAGGGATGCTGTTCCAAGTCTTTGATGCAGCTACCAATGTATATCAGTTCTAACCATACTTACATTTTATATGAAGCTTGCCTATGCCTCCCAATATCTTTAGCTCCTTATGAATGTCTGCGCCCACAAAGTTGAACTCCCAATCGCCTGACCGGTACCCCATAGCATCGCCGACACCACTGAGAACCATGGCGGCCTTGTACCTTGACGACATGTCAGCCAAAACACTGTCACTGCTCATCATTTTGTCTGCGCCTCTGTGGTATATATTTTAAACATTCAGGACGTTTTCAATGTACACACCTTGATATGAAAGCATGTACATTTGCATGAAATAAATGAAATACATAATGTACAGTCCACTAAAAAAAATAGAACAGGAATAAGGAATTACACAAATTTATGTTAAATTTATGTTAATTTTAAGTTGGCAAGCCAGGGAAAAAATTAATGTTTATTTTTCGGGAGCTACTTTTCAAGCTTGCCCGCATGAATATAACATTCTTAAACTTGTTTTGCATTGAACTCTATGCAAATTTATGGGGGCATTTCGGGGGCTAATTCGCCCTGAGCCCCCGTGTATTTTTTTCACTGTGGCAAGCAATACAATTACACATTTGACTGAGCTCAGGGACGTGATAGAGAAGGACTGGAATCAAGCCGGTGAAACTCTTGTAATTTATTCAAACGCATTCATGAGTAAAAGCGTAACAATGGAATGTGTAACATTCCATTTGACTATGAAGTTCCATGCTCCGAACCGCGCTTCCACTGCAGGGACTTTCGGAAGCCAGGCACCAGTTTTACATTTATTACAAAATATTGAATTACACGCAAAATTTCAGTGTAAATCAAAAACTTTATATGGGGATTGTATTGGGAATAGTGCATCAAACACATTTCCAAATTTAGAACTCTGTCCTTCCTATAATTTGTGTGCAAGAGTTGGTAAAAAGAAAAATTGCATCCTGACAAAAACTCAATAGTTTAGGATATTGCGCTAATTTGGGCATGTTTTAATGTCCCGTTATTTGATCCATGATTTACAATCTTCAATAACATTAAATTTGCTAATGAGTGTTTTTACGTGTTTTTTGTATTTTTGAAGTTAAAAAAGGATGAAATTACACAAGTTTGTGGTCGCTTGTTCTCCTCTTTACACATTCAACAATTGATGAGAATCATTGACAGGGACAGCGAACAGTTGCTGTGATACCATTTTCTGATGTAGGAATTCTAAATCCTGAAATTCATGCGCTCTTTTATCTCACCATCTGGTCAACAGTTGCAGATTTGCGCATAACTTCCAGTCCTTCTCTATCACGTCCCTGCTGAGCTGAAGGGACTACAACTTAAAACTGTGTATTTGTAAAATTGTTAACAGCAAGCGTTAACGTTTCAAAAAGCCAAAACTCATCACTCATTCAATATGATTACCGGTATACAATATACTTTCCAGATTAATTAACAATAACAGTATTAAACACATTAATTCCCCATTGATGTAGTCTAGACATACATGTACGTACTACTTCTGTGCCTCACTTAATCAAAAGTAAAACTATAAAGAGCAATTCAAGTACTGTTGTTATTAAAGACTTTAATTTAAGTACAATTGATAATGCTAAGTCTAAGACGTACATAACCAAGCTTACCACAAAACTAGGTCTAGTAAAACTAAATAAAAGCCACATCCTGGCCCTGAGTCTGAGAACAGATCAATCGACTTCAATCAAAGTCTAACTCCAAAGAGTCCAAGCGCAAGCCAACGCTCAACTAGACAATTCTCAACTCGTCTTGCTTATTTTGAATAGTTAGACATATTAGTTAATTATTAGTTATTAATTAGATATATTAGTTATTAGTTAGTTACCGGTGCACGAGGTGCCCTACCCACCTGGCCAGGCGTAGCATAGGCAAGGGTTTCCGGGTTCCTCTCTGTATCTGATCCTGGCTCTATACAAGTTCCAGTTGCACTGCACTGGACTGTAGTCAAAAATATCCTTTGACAATTTGAGTAATTCTTCTTTTTTATTTGAATGAACCCTTTGCGTAATTCTTAGCAATTGCTGGATCTCTCATTTCCCATGAAGAACTCCAAGTATAGCATCTAGACAGGTGCAAAATGGGCGATTGACCCCGGGATTGACCCTGACCTCGATCACATAATTTGTTAAGAACCGCACTGTACTGTATGTGAGTCACGTGACCAGAATTTACTTTATCAGGTGACACAGTGTAATTAACTCCCCTCTCTCTCTTTTTCTCTCTCTCTCTCTTTCTCTCTCTCTCTCTCTCTCTCTCTCTCTTCTCTCTCTCTCTCTCTCTTTCTTTCTCTCTCTCTCTCTCTCTTCTCTCTCTCTCTCTCTTCTCTCTCTCTCTCTTTCTCTCTCTCTCTCTCTCTCTCTTTGGCATCTATTTCGATAAACTAGCTGATTTTATTTTATTAAATGTTATGTTATTTGATCACACACTAGCCCCCCATACAATTACTATATATGCACTTACTAAAATACAATGATGGTTCATTAATCTGCCCGCCACCAAGCGAGCAGTATCTGATACATCTTCAATAACTCAACTAGCACATACACAAAAGCTGATACCATTACTGAACACTTTATTTTAGAAAGCCTAGTCTGCTGGCACAAACTTTGTTTTGACACCTCGTTAAAACAAATTTAGCTAAAACAAAGAAAAGTATTGAGCCTAGCCTAAATTAAAGTCCCTGGCTCTTGCTGTCAAAAGCAGTTGTAGTACAAGGCCTATAGAGTGCAACTGACCGTGCAGTCTGAGTCTCACAGTTCAGACACTCTGCTGCCATGATACAACAGAAAAGGGTTTGTGGCTGCAGACTACTTAATACACGTGTACAAAAGTCACCTATTTTCTTATTAGTCTGTACAACAGACCGTACTGTTTAAAATTCAATTCAATTTATTTCAACCATAAAAATACATATACAATAATACATAGAAATATTTTTAAAAATGGGGTTAAAATGTGATGTATAGTATAATGGAAATTCCAAATTTAACACGTAAAAATTGTGGACTCCTCTGTCAAAAGAGTTATTCAAATAAAACAGAATACAAAATATTAGTGTGTTTCTTCTGTACGCGTGTCAAATATACATGACTCTTATTAATCCGTTTAACCCATGATTCAAGGTTCAACGCGACGTTCGTTTATTTCCACACACGCCTTCATTATGAAGAACAAAATAAAATTATTCTCCATTCAATATGGCAAAATAATGCCATACGTTCATAGTATTTGCAGTAGTTGTTTTGTAGTGTTCAATATAAAGTAATTTCACTAATCCAAGCATAGCTCAAAGCCCAGCCGCACTAGTTTGGCCAGGAGGGATTAGACCTCCCTGCATGGTCAACGACAGGTGGTTATGCATCACAAGAGCTCTCAATTAACATAAGAAAAAGAGGATCACGGGGGACCAATGGCCACCGATTAGGTATTTCGCTATATAGTGGGCGCAAGTAGCTACGGTATAAGTAGTACATTGGGGCTTTAAAAAAACGTGTATGAATTGGAGGAGTCTATTTAAAACCGTATATAGACCATATCTGAAAAAATAATATAGATTTCTCTATATTGTTTCATGAATAGGCATAAGCCTACTGGATGAAATTTGATAACGTAATTATTTACACTATTAAAACACCAGTGAATTCGAAGACAGAGAAGTAAAACACACATGCTCAAAATAATGACATCCCCTCTCACAAAAGTAATTAAAAATACTAATTTTAAAGAAGTTATCCCTATAATATAATACATGTTATATGAATCCTACAAAAAAGGGATTTCCACTCCACTTCATGAGGAAATAAGTGCCAAATGCCCAATCGTAGTTGGATTGAGAATAATATCAAACACATAATGCTTCTAAAACTGTGTTATCATCGTTTATAATTAGAACTAAACATGAAATGTTCCTGACAAAGAATTCACACTTTACCAAAATTTTTAGCATTGAGCAGAGCCTAGATTTGCCAGTTTCTGGCTGTGTCTGGAGCAGCTGAACTACAGAGCCTATATGATAGTCTCATTTTTTCAGACACTAATATGCACAACGACTGGCAAGTGTTTTCTGCCTGCCTGAAACTAAGAATTTACCCGAGTGCGTCATAATTCATGGGATTTGTTCTAATACTGCCTGAACGCACAACTGTGTTATACAGTTGACAAGATACTCCCACCTAGACCTCAAATTGATAAAATGCAGAAGGTTAAATGAAATCATAATGATTAACGATTAACAAAAATCCAGAATGGAAATAATACGAGTATGGTCAATAAAATATCACAAGGAGGACTCATTTGAGAATAACAGCTGGTTTATACGTATATCGAGTGACATTGTTTAAACTAGTTGCCTTAAAATTGTCCCAAATCAATCTATGTATTGAATTAAAGAAAAACAAAATACGTAAAATTATATGCCCTTCAATAATTAAAGTCATGAACGATAATATGTCTAGGACTTCCAGATCGGCCCTTCGTTCAATGATATAGCAGGAATTATCACTCGTTAACATTGTTCAATATGTCTTTAAAATGGTATTGGCATTTTATGTCAATAATTCTAAATTGAAATCTCTTTTTGGACCCAAATTGTAATTTATGCTTATATTATTTTATTTGTAGTCTATGTTGGTTTTTTGATTTCCTTTTCATTGAGCATTACCCAACATTCATCGAAGAGGTCATCGACAGCAATTTTCTATTCAAGAAAAAAGGAGGTCTCTTAATTTCATTTGAAGATATCATATCTCAAAATGAATGCGCCATCCAAAAAAAGCATTTGGATAAGGCTAATTGCTCGTTGGCAAGCTAACGCGGGTACTGGGGCTTATCGTATTAACTAGTATCAGCTTTCTCGAGTGGCGGCGAGAGACGCGTGCACTTGATAAAATTGTGAACATATGGTTCAGTTTACACTATATTCGCATAAGATATTTACCTTTGAACGATAAAAAAGTCATTGTCTTCGAAATCCGCAATTACCAATCAATCATTGTCTGGAGAATATTACTGTTTCACGTCGAAGATGTTTCGAATTTTGGGAATGCCCACCATAGCGTCGGCGTTTCTTTATATTTTGTCCGCTCTCCTGCTCTTGACATCATGTATTTACGACGTCGCGGCCGTGTACGAGCCGGTGTTCGAGACCAAGCCATGGGCGGACTTCATGGCCACGATTCTCCTGATGCCAGGAGGCCACGAGTGTTTCTTTCAAGAAGCCAAAGTTGGGAATGTACTCCATTTCGAATACCAGGCGAGCATAATTACAAATGCATTAATAAATGTTATTATGTTTATAATTTATAAGCGCATGAATGTGCATTGCTGTTATTGTTATTTAGATTATTATTATTATTATCGTTATCATTAAAATGATCATTATTAGTAATAGTAGTATTATAATTTTCATTGTCATGATTATTAATATTGTTATCGTTGTCATTTTTATTATTATTATTGTTATCATTATTGCTATAAGTATTATCATTATCATCATTATTATTGTCATTATCATTAAATGCATATTATGAGAAATAAAAAAAACTGTATGACCTATCTCATGTCATGATAAAGACTTACTTATATCATTATTCAACAACAATAATTGATAGCTTATTTTAGAGAGATGTGAATTTTGCTTTAATACATTGAATTCTTCGGCCACGAATAACAAAGCACCAGGACTTCGCTCTCTTTCTTTCTCTCTCTCTCTCTCTCTCTCTCTCCATCTCTCTTGTTAATGATTTCATGGCGATAACGACTTGATGTTTGCTCATTGTGAAACCATTTCACACAATCATTAACAAAAATGTCTGGATTATAATATTTTGTCACATAATTGCATGTACAGTATACCGACGGCTGCAAGTTGAAATACCGATGATTAAGTCATTTGATTTTATACATGGTATATGCAATTCTGAATTAATCATTGATTTAATTTTTCCCAGATTGCTCAGTTATAGATTTTCTTGCATTTCTTTCTTCTTTTCAATGCAATGCAAAGAAATCTGTATGCCTGTTTAAGATGAGCACCGGTGCGTTGTAAAGTGTTCACATTCATCTAAATAGAATTCTTCATAAATCAGTTATCATTAATGAAGACGAATTTATGTTAAATAACAGCTTTTGACAGATAAATCAATTGGATGGTGTTCACATTATTTGATAAGAACCGGTAGGCCTATACTGATCTATTGATCAATGCTTGTAAAACAATTCAGAATCTAAAATTAATATCTTTAAAATACACTTTTACCCATGAAATTGGATTATTAATTCTTTGCCTATTTTGACGAAATGATTATGATATGATTTATTATTGATATAGATCAATCTCTCTGACAATCTAGATTGAGAAATAAAGTTCTGAGAAGATTTTATACATCAACAATAAATCATATTCTCACAATCACTTCATGAAAATATATTCAAACTTCATGGGCATCGTTGTATTCGGTTCGCATTAAAAGTGGAGCAACTCACAAACTAAAGTACTTTTTTAGAAAATACAAAAACTCGCGATACGTCGTTTCCGTTCTGTTTATATTATATGAATTGCTCATCAACTTGTGCGCATGACATGATTTCTAGGAGTGATTTTGCTAGTGGGGCTAGAGCTAGGATGGGGGCGGGGAGATCACTTGGAATTGATTTTGTTCCATTTTCACCCGGAATCTTCCAGGAGGTAATCGGGTGACAAATCCTCCCAAAGCCCCCCCCCCCCCCCCCCATCCCCGTGAATTTCACGTCGATCACAAATTTGTTTAGAACCGCACAGTAAGTGAGTCACGTGACTAGAATTTACTTTATCAGGTGACACAGTATAACCCCCCCCCCCTTTCCTCTCTCTCTCTCTCTCTCTCTCTCTCTCTCTCTCATCAATATTCACGGTTGCTCTGATGATAGTAAATTACAGTGATTGATTTTATTTCTTCCTTTTTTCCCTTGTTCAAAACATACCTCTGATAAATTTGTCATCATGATCATTATATTACTCTCTAAAAAAAATCGAGTGACCACTGACGTCTCTCCTCTGGAGAGTGAAAATGTAGTAAAAATAGAGTGAACATTCACTCTTTTCTTCTATGAGAGCACTCGAAAGTCAATCGATATTCACTCCTAAACAAGTGATCCCTGACGTCACCCCCAAGAAAGTTAAAATAGAGGGAAAATTCACTCTTTTTTTAGAGAGAGAGTATGTCACCTTATATCAGAGCCATTGATTAAGTGAGTTTGGCCGAGTTCGAGTTGGGCACATTATGACGAATACTGCTTTGTTGGGCAAGCACAAAGTAGTTATGCCATGTTTCAACCAAATGAAACCAAGTTGGCCAAACACCGTGTATAAATGACTCTGTCATAATATCGTCCGACACCACCTCTACCTTTTAAAGCCTATCAGCACTATTATAGTTTGGCCAGGAGAGATTAGACCTCCCTGCATGGTCACTGACAGCCTGACAGGTGGTTATCTCATCAAATCAGCTCTCAATTAGCATTAAAAAAGGGGACCAATAGTCACCGAATAGGTATTGTTTGTTACATAGAGGGCGCAAGGAGCTATAAGTAGTGCAGTGGGGCTTTCAATGACTGTTGACAAACCTGGTTGTTACAACATTTTCCTTTTTTCTTTTTTTCCCACTGCAGCTGGCCAGTAAAGACTCTCGACCAGCTCTCAACGCTTTGATCAAGGGACCGAGAGGCATAGCTCTATACAATAACCAGAATTCCATAATGGGAACATTCAACCATAAAGCAGAAGTGGCAGGTAAACCTTTTTGGTGATGGCATCGTAGTTTATTGACAGCAAAAAAGACCGACAGCCCAAGAGACCGCAAGCCCACGAGACCGACAGCCCATCAAACCGACTGCCCGCTAGACCCAAAAGTCACAAAGACCGATAGCCCATGAAACTGAATGTCAAAATGACCAACATCCCGGATGACAAACGATGAGACCGACACCCCAAGAGACCAGAAGCCCATAAGACCGACAACTAAAAAACACACCAACAGCTCGCGAAACTGACAGCTGAAAAAGCCGAAAGCCAGAAAAGACTGACTTTCCAAGAGACCAACATCCCATAAGATCTAAAGCCCAGTTGACCGACACCCTTAGAAACCGACAGTCCACAAAACCGTCAGCCCAAAGGACCGAAGGTCCACGAGACCGATGGTCAAAATAAGAGTTAGCCAGAGTTAACCAGATCGACTGCCGGCTAGACTGATAGCCCAATGAAACAATAGCCCGTGAAACCGACGGCATATTCTTGTGTTTATAATACATACTATAATACACAACATAATTTACATGTCATCTCGTTAAAGCCCCACCTTCCTACTTGTAGCTACTTGCTTCCTCTATATAGAAAACAATGCCTAAGCGGTGCCTGTTGGTCCCCCATGATCCACTTTTTCTTATGTTAATTGAGAGCTGAGTTGATGAGATAATCACCTGTCAGTGACCACGCCAATCTCTCTAATCCCTGCTGGCCCAACTAGTGTTGAGGGGCTTTAAACAAATGTTCTATAAACATTGAAATGCCCTCTCCAAAAGAGGGTTTTTAAAGCAATACGCCACTGTATCATGACTTACATTATGTATTTCTCACATAATAATACATATTGAAAGACTCGAAATAATTGATTATTCATGCGTTTACCTTTTTGTTTGTTGTGTGTTTATTTGTTTATTTAGTAAGTCAGATAGTAAGTTAGTTTAATGTGTAATCATTTGCTCAGTTATTTATTTTTAAAAATAATGGTATTTATCTACTTATTTATTCATATTCTCTTTTACTAATTGATCATTTATCTATTAATTTTATAAGACATTGACCGATTTGTTTATTCTCTCCTCACTGAAACAGGTGCCTACCAATTCTGCATCGCAAACAACCATCAGAAGTATTACGTCAAGTACGTCAAAATGTACCTCTCTATCACCGACAACGAGAGACTGGAGAAGTACTACCATCTAGAGGAGGATCTCCAAAAAACCTACGGAAATTTGTCGGTAAGAGTCTTTGTAAACGGATTGCAGATTTATGATTGATATTGGAGGGTGACCTTGCACAAGGGGACATTTCTTTTATTCCAGAAGGAGCTTGTTTGTGGAAGAAAAAACGAAAATGTGGCCCTCATCGAACAAAATTGCTATAGAGTCTAGATTGTTTTTATCTTATAGTTGATTTTTTGTAAGAATTTAATAAAAAAAAGTTTAGAAAATCAACTATAAGGTTTTCGATTAGAAGCTTTAGACGAGAAAATGATCATCAAATTTATGAGTTTATAAGTCGGTGTAGTATTTCTACCTCATGTGTTTAGGGAAATCACATGTATAGTGTCATTAGGCATTTATGAATTTATGTGGACTGTATGGTATTTATTATTTGGTATTCTATGGTACTTACTTTTTGGAAATAGAATTTTAAGACGCATTCTTTTTTGTAATTATTTCACGTAGAGTAGATCTTCGCAGTCCCCCCCCCCACCCCCTCCGTCCATTTAAGCATAGGTTATTGTAATCCTCAAACATATATTTTGTCGTTTAACCCTTGCATGATACCTTCCAGGGTTTAAATATCATTATCTCAAATAATTTCTACGACTTAGAAATAACAATGATTACGATGTAGTGGTAGGCCCTATCCCTTTTCTTAGATGTTGCCACCATATCGCATCATATTTTTTTAACAACGGTTTTCTTTCACTACTAGCAAACTATGCAGAAGCTGACGTCGTCGGTCCGTGTGATGCGCCGCTTCCAGCAATGGAGTGGCATCCGAGAGACCAGGGACAGAGAGCTGCTCGAAGCCAACCAGGGTTACGTAACAACCTGGTCCTGCCTGCAGTGCCTGGTGGTCGTGGGCGCCGCCATGGTACAGGTCTATTTCCTCAGGAGTTTCTTCAATACGGCCAAACTGACGCCGAATCAGAAGCCGAGGTGCTAACGAAGGTGGGAAACTAGAATAAACGCGATCGCAAAGACTTTCGAGAAATCACCTCAAGGGTAGTTTCAATACCCTGTTGTATTGCCTAAAGAAATCATGCTTGGATTACGTATTACGTCATTGGCATTGGACTTCGCACATTCCAATAGGGGACACACACTGCCGTATGTTGATTTCTTTAAAGTATTTACTATCGTATAAATGGATCGAAGAAGCAGCTAATCACAGTCGCGTATCCATCATAGAATTAAACTGGCGTAGTCACCCTTCTTTTTGTTAAAGGTCCCGCATTACAGTGACCTGGGAACATTGTTGAAGTTTGATGAAAAAAACGCGTAATTTTTGTATGAAATGTTACTTATTATAATCCTTCTACTGTCCTAACCCTCTAACATGCAAAACATCCTTTTAAACATGGCTCAAACCATAAAGATATTAATGGTTTTCTTTGAAGGCGTCACTGTCCGACACCCTCTAACAGTAAATTCTCCCAACTATTGTTGAATTTTCCAAACCGGTTTCCATGAAAATAAAATATACGACAGGCTTTTAAAAATCTTTCAACACTTAAATGTCTGGAAGGGTATAAAGAGCCAATTCATTGCTTTGTGACATTTTACATTCACCTACAATTTAATTAAATTGTAATAATATAATAAGTTGGGAGAATTAAGGAATCGATTAGATCATTTTTTTCCCAATTTTTATCATTATTTGAATCATCTTTTTTAATGTTTATAGTAATGTTGCAACCCGGATGTGTGGCGAAGGTAGTGGTGGTGGTGGTGGTGTTGGTGGAGTTTTATAAGTAGTAGAAAAAAGTAGTTTAAGGTAGTAGTAGTAGTAGTAGTAGTAGTAGTAGTATTAGTAGTAGTAGAAGAAGTAGTAGTAGTAGTAGTATCAGTAGTAGCAGTAGTAGTAGTAGTAGTAGTAGTAGTAGTAGTAGTAGTAGTAGACGTAGTAGTGATAGTATAAGCGGTGATGGTGGCAGTAGTGGTGGTGGTGGAGGTGGTATATAAAGGGCTCTAATTTATACAGCGGATTGCCCACTGTGTTTGTAGAGGGATTGTATTGCCTTTCTTTTATCTCGTTTTCTTTTCTGGCAGCGACAATATATTCCACTTCAGTCTTATTAATTCTGAAACGATATATTTCATTATTGTTCTCTTTTATTTACTTGTGCTGATAGTATTTCAATGTACAACATAACTTACTAATTCTTTTCAATCGAATCGGATACTTTGTGCTCACGTTTTTTTTCTTTCTTGTATCAATTTTGTTCAGAACATTTCAAAGCTCGATTTATGCATAAACTGTCTTCCAACTGTTAGTGTCTTGAAACATGCAACAACTGAAACTTTATTGTGTAAGATAATACAACAGAAATAGTTTAACGTCAAACTGATCTTCAGCCTTTTCATAATACAAATATTAAACCTGTAAATAAAATCATATTTTCAGTCACATTCAATCTTTTCTTAGTGGCCACCTGTCTTGAAAGTGGTAACATATATTGGATACCTCTAGAAGGAAACGTGTGTTGGGGAACCTCTTTATAAAGGCCACATTTCTACAGTGGCCACTTTCTGTGTTTCCTGAGTGACCTTTAATAGACAGGTTTGACCTCAGTATCATTAGCATGACTAGGGGTAGAGAACCATTTCACGTGTGTGTGTCAATCGTACTTTGATGGTGCAATATTTCTTTTGGTGTATAATCAGAACTAGAAAGATATTACTCGTGTTTCTTTTTGTTAATGGTGCAATTTCTTTTGGTGCAGTATTAGGTGTAGAGAGTTATTTCTGAGTGTGTTTAAATTAAATTGTTAATGGTGCAATATCTTCGACGAATTAGTATTCCTGTCATGTTGACCGATATTATGCAATCGACCTTCCTCTGATGTAAATAGTCCTTGGAACATTTATCAATAATTTCATGTAATTTATTTGAAATTCATAATCAAATTTTCTACTCATACTATTGCTGTTGTTTTCTTTGTTTGTCGTTCCTGCAACATTTTTCAGCTCTATTAAACATGCCCAAAATGATAACAGTAAATCCATTTTGTGTTATTGTTGTTGTTGGTGATGTTGTTGTAGTTGTTGATTGATTCTTCAGGTCGTGAAGAGAGCGTATAGAAAAGAGTTATTATAACAAGATGATAAGGAAGTGAGTGACACGTTGATAGAGTGCTACAGAGACAGAGAGACAGAGGGAAAGGAGAGGTGAGAGAGAGAGAGAGAGAGAGAGAGAGAGAAACAGAGAGAGAGAGAGAGAGAGGGGGAAGGAGAGCGAGAGAGAGAAACAGAGAGAGAGAGAGAGAGAGGGGGAAGGAGAGCGAGAGAGAGGAAAAGCTCGGGGCAGGGGGAATATCTGGAAAAAAAGGGGAGATTTTTCTTTTTTAAAGGGCCACTACACTACTTGTAGCTACTTGCGCCCTCTATATAATAAACAATGCCTAATCGGTGACCATTGGTCCCCCATGATCCTCTTTTTCTTATGTTAACTGAGAGCTGAGTTGATGAGATAACCATCTGTCCAGTGACCTTGCAGGGCAGTCTAATCCCTCCTGTAAACTACGGCAGATAAGCTTTAAAGGGAAGTGTGAAATTTAGTGTTATCATGGTAATGACCCATGGAGTAGGCATAAATGAGCCTTATGATTTGTTGTAAATGCAATACACACTTCAATTGTATAGTTTTGTATTATCCCTCCCCCCCCCCCCTCTCTCTCTCTCTCTCTCTCTCTGTCTCTCCCTCTCCCTCTCCCGCTCCCGCTCTTGCTATAAATACCTACCTACCTACATGTACTTATGTATCTATCTATATATAATTATGTCTATCTATATAATCATCCATTTATATCTCCAATATGTCAATCAATCAGCCAAGTTATCTATCTACCTATCCATTTATCTTACTATTACTTCTCTCGCTGTCTTGTTTGATATATTTCATCTCGTCCTCATTCCATTTTATTGACGATCCTCAATTGATATCTATTTATTTACCCCCTATGTTTAGAAATAAATGTAAAGATGAGTTCAGGTAGGACTTCGTACAATGCACTGACTAGTTCATTCCTTCAATGCTCATAAATATCGGTATCAAACTCACGTTATTTTTCAAAGTCAATCAGTATTATAATACTGTTTAGAAGAGCGTCCTCTATCGTCACACCTCTAAAAATTATTTATTCCAGATGATAGGGAACCGTCAAGGTTTCATAAGCGTGTTTATAGAAAAATGAATATGCACGAAGAAACATCCTCACAAATTGGCATCTATTATTAATGATTCTCTGAACTTATTCAATTTCAATTTATTTTTACCATCTGTAAATTAAATGGGAGATTTGGAAAATTGGATGAGAGAAATGCACGTTCATAGCCCCTTCCTTTTGGCAATAAAATTGCTCATTCTGGCACTAATACGCAATAATGCAGGCAGACTGTATATATAAACTGATTGACCTGTGTTGATCAATTCTCGATCCCTCGCTATTATATAAATATTCATATAGTCTATGGTTATATATAAGAGATATAGTGTCAGACGGGCGACGTCAAGAAAGCTATACAAAGGGCTAAGAAGACGAAGAAGAACTAATAAAATTGAGGGAGGAGAATGATGGAAAGACTGAAAGAGAGAGAGAGAGAGAGAGAGAGAGAGAGAGAAGGGAGAGGTATATGGCAAATGAAAAGAGAGAGGTCGAAAGTGAAAGGGAGAGAGAGAGAGCGAGCGAGACGGAGAGAGAGAAAGAGGGAGGGGCAGATACACACAGAGAGACCATTTTATAGATATATCAAAGATTGCAATCTTTAGCATATTATGATGCATATTTCTATGAGAAAGACACACAGGTGGGGGGGGGGGGGGAGTAAGAGTAGGTGAGGTGGTGGTGAAAATATCAGAATAAACAAAATGATTTTGTGAAAATTAAATGGCAAATTGAATTAAATTTGAATTAGATTTAATTTTACCGGCGATCGATATCTCCCTCTCACCTTCCCAGACCTTTACCGCTTCGTGTATTACCGTTGCCCTTTCTGCCTGTCTCCAATTTATTCTCTTTTTGTCTTTCTCTCTCTTTCTCTCTCTTTCTCTGTCTCTCTGCCATCTATCTCTCTCCCTCTACCTTCTTGTATGTGTCTCTCTCCATCTCTCTCTCTCTCTCTCTCTCTCTCTCCCTCTATTTTATTCCTGTTTCTCTCTCTCTTTCTCGCTCTCTCTTTCTCTATGTCTATTCTTCTTTCTCCCTCTCTCTCTTTCTCTCTCTCTCTCTCTCTCTCCCACTCTCTCTTTCTCTCTCTCTCTCTCTCTCTCTCTCACTCTCTCTCTCTCTCTTGTGTCTGCCTCTGTAAATTATGGTGAACAACACATGGGCTATATATGATATCTATCAACAGTTCGGTCATGGTAATTTATACGAAATGACTTGTGGAGAAGAAAAAATAAATAAAAACTAGCAATTTCAATAGCCTTGCCCTTCCCCTGTTCAAATGTGTGAACATTACAAAAAGATGTATTACATTTACGTACTCTGATAATGAACTGTATGTGAAAACTGGGTGTTGAAATTGCCATTGAGATTTGTTTTAATTCTTGTATCGTGTTGAATAGTGTAGTTATCAAAATAAGGTTGTATGGATAGGAAATCAGTCAACACAGCACATAAGACGAATCGTGACAATGGATCGTTTTGTTTTTCTGCACCATATTATATTTATATAGGCACCAATCATGTTGAAAAAGAAATGTTCCTCTTAATATAAATTTCATCCGTCACAAAATATCATCGGAATATAATGAGAGCATACGTCAGGTCACAAAATAAATGAATTATTCTTTATATTCTTTTTATAGTATTGAAAACAAACACAAACGCCACTATTCACACAACAATCGCTTCTCATTGAAACACAAAACAGTTACATTACATACATGTAATATAAAGATCTGGTAATTCATAGGTGTATTTAGTCATCATAATTATCTCAAGGACATTGAATTGACATCACACCTTTAAACTCACATTGGACATGATACGAAGACATTTTATATAGGAAGAATGTGTGTATAAGACTGTGAACAATTGTATATGATAAATAGTGAGATATTAATGTTTCATTCCATTTTATTCCTTGTTAAGATCGACATTTCCTTTACCCTTGATCATGTTCATCTGTTCACGAAAACGGTAAAACAAAAATTATATACACTATTAATGATGCGTGTAAATTGTACCAGGAACAAATGCATCTTCATAACCTATATATCACAATGTCACGCTTGACCCCCTCCCTCCCATATCGATGAATACCACTACTTTTCGTTTCTCTTTGATACCTCCCCTTTCCGAATATAGGGTTTACGACATTTTTACCCATTTTTACTCTTCACAAGCACATCCAACAAGTACAACACATCCCACTCGCACACGCCTTTGTATAATTAGATACCATTCAGGGAAGCGTCCTGCTTTTTTTTTTAGTTCTAACTGTAAGTTCCTTCAATTTACTAATACTAAAACGATTTCCCCAAAGAATCATTGTTTCAATTGAAATGAAACTTGTATATAAAAACCATTCAAGGGAGACAAGAAAAGTGGTCTTTATGTACATGTTTCTTTGGTACATGTTTCAATGACAAAAAAATTGCAAGGGAAACCAAAAAAGTGGTCTTTCTAAACAGGTGGTCACTAAAGCAGGTTTAAAGTATTTAAAAATCGTCCTTTTTACATGCAAACCTGGGGGGCATTTTCTAGTTGATAGTATACAGCCGTGGACTGAGAGAAGTCGACTGTACTTTACAAAGCAGTTAAAATAAACCGGTCTCCTGGATGGTAAAAACAGACATCAGCGTTTTCTACGATTGTAAACAAGAACGTGTAATTAAAACGCTCAGAGCGTTAGACCCAGGAAATCATATGAAACATATGAACATGTATGTGTCTTGAGGACTGTCTGAGTAATTATGAGTCCAGTGGGCACAACAGCGAATGATGCTGATGTGATAACAGAATTATATAGGAACAATGTATGAAAGGGACAATTACAAGGGAAAACGAACGGAAGACGAAGACCCAACCAAGGAGAAGATGAAGTACGTGATGTTATTTATTTATTTATTTATGAACCACTTGTAAAATGGAACACCCTTTTCGGCACGAGTGTGTGTCTTTTTATAGGGTTCCACACGAAACGAAAGATGATGGAGAAGAAGAGGAAGAAGAAGGAAACAAAGAAGATCAGATAGAGAGAAGGAAATGAAGAAAAGAATGATAAAAGAATGAGGGAAATGGGGAAAGAACAAGAAGAGGACAAGCTGCAAGAAAACTAAAAGAAACATAAAGGTAAGGAGAGAGAAAGACAAGGGACAGGGGAGAGCTGATAGAATGCCAAATATATCATCATATTTCTGAATGTTGCAAATTATTGTCTGTACCAAAACGAAACACATGAAGACAAAATATGTTTTTAATCAGAAAACCATTAAAATCCCATGGGCCAATTCGCACACATTTACATGACGTTTTAACGAGCTACATTACTTTCATCGCGTGGAAATTCTCCACATGTCATTTTATTTCATCAAGTTGCCTTTCTCCGAGAGAATCATTTTTAGTCTGATATTATAAAGAGTAATTCAATTCAGTTTTACAATACAGTCCTTTAAAATATCATTCTTGGTCCGTTACCAGTAGTAATTACCGTGTACACTCTGACTGGTGGGGTCAGCTGGTCGAAGGCAGCATGTGTGGGTCTTTTGCTTCAAATAAGTACACAAGTCGCCCTGTCCTTCTCGCTATATCATACGCTGTTTCGCTCGCCGCGTTCTTCAACGTCGTATCAATAAAGCGACTCATGAGTAATAAGCTAAGCACCTCCTCCGACTCAGCGCTACACGCCGCCAAGTGTAACGGCGTCTGTCCGCCGTTCGTCATGGCGTTAACGTCGCAGCCGGCTTGAACGAGTAGCGACGCGACGCACGGATTGTTCCAGCGCGCAGCACAGTGTATAGGTTGCCAACCGTCCGTAGTTTGCGCGCACATGTCTGCACCTCTTTCAAGAAGGAACTCGACCATTGCGGTGTGGCCGTTGTACGTTGCGCGATGCAACGGCGTGTAACCGTCCTCGTCCTTTACTCCGATGAGGGTGGGTGTGCTATCCAGCAAATCTTTGGCTGTCTCTATCTCGTTATTCTCCGCTGCCCATAGTATCCGCTTCGTGGTATCATTCTCAATATCCTCATTAATCTTGCTATCCTCCTCTGGATCGTCATCATCCCAAACACTCTTCCAACTCCCTCTCCTCTGTTTCTTCTCCTTCTCCGATTCCATGATGTTCAACAAAAACTCTGTATCCCTTCTCGCCTTCCTAGCAGTTTCCTCATCATCCTCGTCATTATCATCGGTAACATCACCACGATTCTGTCTCTCAATGCCGGCCTGGAAGAGTCTCTCAAGTCTCTCTTTGTTCGATTCATTGCTTGGGACTAACTGTCGGGTCAGATCCAGTTCCAGTTCCCCGCAGTCTTCTACCGTTATACAGCGTTCAGGTGTCGTGACGCCCTCTGCGTCGATCTCAACACCACCTACAGCTCCACCTTCTCCTTCATCATCTTCCTCCTCCTCCTCTTCCTCCTCTTTTTCATCCTTTTTCCTTCGTAGAGCTTCTTCTTGCTTGAAGGTCAGGTCCGTTCCTATCCGAGGGACGCTCAACCTTCGATCCGTGCGGTGTCGGGCTACTCGTTCACGGAACTCCTTGTCCAAGCTCTCCACACTCTCGCTGAGTTCCTTGGTTTGTTCGCTACATACATCCATCATGGTAAAGCCTACAAGTTGTTTCCTACAATAATCAGCACGTTCACCTTAATCGAGCTTCCAAAAAGTGAAAATTCAGCAGAAAATTGGTGCCATATGGAATCCAGCGAGACTTACAATTGTGGGTAATCATAAATCTGACGTAGCCGTTTCATTAAAACAGTTATTTACAATTTCCACGAGTTTCATGCAGATTACTTTTTTCAACCGGGTAAAATTTCAAGTATCTCAATGCTCGTAACTTGCGAGATCCAAAGCAACTTCTTTCTTCACGACCTGACCAAAATTCTCCATACAAATAAAGATGCACCAAGATGTCGTTTCCCAGTCCGTCAAGTACTATGGCAAAAGCAATACGTCTGACTGGTAGAAAGAAATTAATTTCCTTGATGTGACATCAAACATTGCCCGATTGCTTCTGAGATGTTTGCCCGTCTTACGCAAATTGGCAATCAACCGGTAATAACGGGTCTTGATCTTTCGAATTCCAGGTTTAGTAGGGTCTTAAATAGGGCATTGGTACGAGAAGCTGTCTCCATGCGTCGTCTATGTATCTTCCTCTCGTCCTGCGTGACTCTGCGCTGGTTTAATGTGCCCTCATTATACAGACGCCGAATTGCGATCTGCATTTGAGCGAGATAAAGGGGGAAAATGGGACAGAGAGATGGGAGAGATGTGAGATTTAAGTGAGTGACATACAAGAAGTGATAGAGAAAAGAGAATAGAGGGATAGGGAGATGGGGGAGAGAAACAGATAGAAAAACAAAAAAAATTGTCATGTTAATCAAAGCCTTTCAATAATACATGCGAAAGTTGCCAACAAAAAGTTAGATACAATTTTTAAAATAATGTATTAATTTACAAATGGATAAATAGACCTTTGTCATGAATGTAAAATGTTATTTCCACTCTTCAAACATGTTTCAAGAAACAAAAGTTCTGGTAATTGCATGTGTACAATAACCAGATCAACCTCCTTGATTATGGCAATTCGCAATACTTTTTTTTTACGTGACAGACAAAACATAACGACGCTTAAGCAGAGACAGAAATGTGGGTTGTAAAGAACATGAAGACTCGAATTCCTTTCAAAGCATCGTAAATTAACAGATAAGAGGTTGATTTTGTATTCAACCGAGATGTTCCAATTAGCTCAACTCGTTCAATTACAAATTGTGATCTGAAGTAGACAGTTCGATGCGCCATTGCTCCATCTTGTTGCGCGCGGCGTAGCCTGGATCCAGACAATGAGGGAGTACTGGGTCGTCAGGGGAGGGCAGGAAGGCCTGAAAGTACTATGTGTGAATAAGAGTGCGAGAGAACAAGCCCATCCAAGGGGGGGGGGTGGAATATCTTCATAATAATGACTTTCCAGATCGCAAAGGAGAGTATTTAAAAGCATTAAACTTGGTACATCGTCTTTTTTTTTACGTTGCCCTTCTCTTCCCTTTCCAAGCACGATCGCAAAGGCTTTTGAGAAGTCAACTCAAGGCAAAGGCAATTCAAATGAATATTGTATATCCTACAGAATTTGGTCGGATTACGTAATTCGTAATTTAAACATTCGCACATTTTAATGAGTGGTAAACAAGGCTTTGAATATTTTCGAAAGGCTTTGCGATTATGTTTTTGTATGAAAACGAGAAGAACGTACATAATTAAAGGACAATAAAATGAGCATCATCTCCATTACATGTAACTCCCTCCCAAAACATTTAAATATTTAACATCATCTCATTTTCCCTTTACCCCCCCCCCCCTTCTCCCTTTCTTTAACTTTCTCTATTTACCCCCCTCTGATTTAGACTAAGGAGGTATTCCCTCCCCCCCCCCCCCCCCCCCCGGGCTCCCGTAGCTACATCGCCGTCTTACTGCATGCATGTACGTGTTGCAGAGGAGAAGACGGGAGTCTCTTCGCGAGGAAAGTGAGAGGAAGTGGGTCAGGAAGTCTGTCTGTTGTGATGATAACTGATCTTGCTGCAGGCAGAGCAAACATTCCGTCGTTCTATAGGGTTGTCGGTTGGTGTAGCCCGGCTAACTCCTCGATGCCTTCCAGAATTTGTTTATTCTACTTCCAAACAACCCCCCTCCCTCAACACACACGCACACACGCAAACACACATACTTGCGTACGTCTTCAATTAGTGCATTACATTGTCGTTTAGTCGACTCCTTCCCCCATCCCGCCAAAATCTCTTCCCATCTTTAGAGACGGATTGGCAACCTCTTTTCCCCATCATGCACATCCGTTTAAACATAACTGTGTGCTCTTAAAGAGGCAAAGTAGTGGGCTCTCATATGGAATTTGACACCATACGGATGTTCACCCAATAACTAGTGTTGTCAATCACCAGGATATAATCAACAGGCCTTATGTAATGCTCTGCATTTTCCACGCATCGCCCCATATGGAAAAGCCATTATCTTACATTTCCCTCACCCGAAGACTCTCAACTAGACAATGGGGATTTTTTTTTGATGGGACCACGGGTTTGCTGTGTGCGAAACTCGTACACGCATTAATGGTATTTCCACCAAGTCTGGTGTCAGCGAATTATGACCTACTGCAAATGGAGACTGACGATCATCTCCCTTTAAAATTAAAGGCCCACTGCACTACTTGCGCCCTCTATATAACAAACCAAGCCTAATCGGTGACCATTGGTCCCCCATGATCCTCTTTTTCTTATGTTAACTGAGAGGTGAGTTGATGAGATAACCACCTGTCCAGTGACCTTGCAGGGCAGTCTAATCCCTCCTGTAAACTATGGCAGATACGCTTTAAGGCTCGTTCGCAAATGCCGCCGTTTACCGCAGAGTATCTGAACGCGGTTTACAACTCTATAACTGTTCAACTACACTGTTGCTCATGAAAATGGAATAATTTTTCTTTACCTGTTTTCATTGAAAGATTGAGACAATGTAGTATCTTCTTGATAGATATAGTTTATATCTTCTCAGAAACTTATTGACCAATCAAAAGAGTCATAGAGATCGATCAATAAAGCCCTGACAAGATAATAGGTTTATCTATCAAAAATAAATAATATTGTTGCAATATTTCTTGAAAAGAGGTAAAGAAAAATGATTCCAATTTTACGAGCAACCGTATTTCGTCTCGTAAGGAAAATTCTCTTTACCTCGGACAACTATAATGCATCGATATAATTACAAGACCCTTTCATTCTTCATTAAAGTCTTCCACATGTGTATATGTCTGGTTGTGTATCCCCTTCCATTTTCATTTCGACATATCTCTCAATGGTAAATAATCCCATCATTCGTCATATTCTCACATACCGTGAGGCCATCTAAAACATTGCTGGGTGTATAGTGACGTATGCTCGTTCTCTATACAATGCTGATTCCTCCCAAAGTTATTTAAGCTTCTCTTGAATTCTCCCTCTCTCTCTCTCTCTCTCTCTCCCCCTCTCTCTCTCTCTCTCTCTCTGTTCCTTTTTTCTCTATATCTCTCCACCTCTCACTCTCCATCTCTCTTTCTCCCTCTCTCTCTTTCTCTCTCACTCTCACTCAATATCTCTTACATACACAAGAACACACAACGATATACTCTCTCACACACACATATCGCGTACATACACATCCGCCTTTCCCTTTTTCTTTCCCATCGTCTTTTTCTCTCTCTCTCTCATTCTCCCCTTTTTCACATTTCTCTCCATTTATTTTTATTTTCTCTCTTTATCAGATTTATGTTTGTCACTCTTTCTCTCTCTCTCTCTCTCTCCACCCTTCCTATCTCACTCTCTTTCCTTATCTCTCTCTCTCTCTTTCTCTCTCTTTATCTCTTTCTTTATCTCTCTCTCTCTTTCTTTATCTCTCTCTCTCTTTTTTTGTCTCTCGTTCTCTCTCTCTCTCTCTCTCTCTCTCTCTCTCTCTCTCTCTATATATATATATTTACCCCCCTCCTCCCCTCCTCCTTCTCTCCTTCCGTTTTACTCTTTAATATACTTGTTTTGTTTCCCATGTGCAAGAGAAAATTGCAATCGAATTCCAATCGCCTGCTACCAATTAGTTTATCATTTAATTCATTTGTTATGCTCTCTATTTTTCATTTGCCTGTCTGGCTACTAATTGTGTCAACAAATTGAACACTCTCCTGCTCATTCCGCATTACAACTCCTGAAATTTGTATTTGTTTCCATGATAGACGAGATAGAACTTCTCAGTTACAGTTTTCGCACAATGCGTTGACTTAAAGAACAATACAAACAAATAATATAGAGAAATCAGAATATAACTCGCACAGAAACTCACCGCAACTAATATTTTCCTGTAATCCGCATAAACTAATCAAATATGTGTAGTGCGTTGTCATGTATAAAGCATGCACCGACTGACTGTATTAATACGATCGCGATTCAAACAAAGAAGCAGGTTCCTGGGATAGAAGAACATTTCAGAAATCTCATCATGCATATTTCATTTCATATTTCATCGCACTTAAATTCATATTCCAGGCATGCTCAGTCACAGACCGCAGGAATTGAATTTTCCATACATCAAGATCTGAAGGAGAAGCAAGGGAACCATTACATCGAACACAGTTTCAAATGCACTGGTATCAATATTTCTAGTGCCAGGCAGAATTCTGTGCATAAGTCGTATATGGGCATGTGATGTAAATTGCTTGGAAGCAAAGACATGATGAATCTTGTATTATTGTTGTTTATGTTGTTTTTGTTATTGCTAATGTTATTGTTAGTGTTGTTGTTGTGTTGCAAATCGCATATTTCGTCATATCTAATTATGCCCAGGCCAACATATGTTTTGAGAAATTTAATATTCCAGTAAGCCCCATTCGTTCTCAGCATACATCCAACTAGTTCAATGCAATCCATTTGTGTATTTTCTCTTCAATAAGTAAAAACTAAATTATTCGAAACGATTGTTGTACAAGTAAATGGTTACGTAACAAAGTAAATGAAAACTATTATTTTGTACCAAGAAAGCAATAAGCTTGTCAGACTTGATCCACTTGAAGATAATACCTTGTATAATCGTGACAATAAATGGTATACAGATTTTTCAATTACTAATAATTTTACAGTAAGGAAAATGCAGATCATGCAAGGATTATAAAAAGTCACCTGGGTCGAGAGCGACATATACAGATAAAATGCATTTACCACGCTCAAGCGCCCCTTCGGTATTAAGGGCACAGACTAATGATTCTACCCGATTCGAGTGAACTATACTTTTTTTTTGTCTGGAGAGACATACACAGTCTGTCTTCGTAGACTAACCGATTCTTTAATTAAGAACTACACTTCTTTAAAGAGTAGCTTGTTTTCTGGCGCGCCCCCGCTTACTTTGCCCTCAAGGAAACATTTAGCTGGAAGCGAGAACGACGACTCTTTAAATACAGCCCAAGTGATTTCATTAAACACTAATAAACTTAATTCTTTCGCAGCCTAAAGCGGCGTTTGCACGCACTGCGCCAACACAGAGGCGCCATTCTGTAGAGTGGTGTACATCCATATGCTTGGTGGCGATGTTACTGTCATGTCATGGAGTTTTGGGGGGAAACTATTCGTTCGGCGTGCAAGAAAATGATCAGGCACCAGTCTCATCTCGCGTGGCATCATTGACTGCTGGCCGTCTGAATTGTGCTTCGGATTTTGACACTCTC